AATACTATCACATACCCTCCACACACCTCCCACCTTAAACACTGTGACTGTTTCTTAGAATATTAGAAGTATTAACAGTAGGCATACCATAATGATAATACTATCACATACCCCTCCACACTCCCACCTTAAACACTGTGACTGTTTCTTAGAATAATTAGAAGTATTAACAGTAGGCATACCATAATGATAATACTATCACATACCTCCACACACTCCCACCTTAAACACTGTGACTGTTTCTTAGAATAATAGAAGTATTAACAGTAGGCATACCATAATGATAATACTATCACATACCCTCCACACACTCCCACCTTAAACACTGTGACTGTTTCTTAGAATATTAGAAGTATTAACAGTAGGCATACCATAATGATCAATACTAATACTATCACATACCCTCCACACACTCCCACCTTAAACACTGTGACTGTTTCTTAGAATATTAGAAGTATTAACAGTAGGCATACCATAATGATAATACTATCACATACCCTCCACACACTCCCACACCTTAAACACTGTGACTGTTTCTTAGAATATTAGAAGTATTAACAGTAGGCATACCATAATGATAATACTATCACATACCCTCCACACACTCCCACCTTAAACACTGTGGCTGTTTCTTAGAATAATAACAGAAGTATTAACAGTAGGCATACCATAATGATAATGCTATCACATACCCCTCCACACACACTCCCACCTTAAACACTGTGGCTGTTTCTTAGAATAATAGAAGTATTAACATAGGCATACCATAATGATAATACTATCACATACCCTCCACACACTCCCACCTTAAACACTGTGGCTGTTTCTTAGAATAATAGAAGTATTAACAGTAGGCATACCATAATGATAATACTATCACATACCCTCCACACACACTCCCACCTTAAACACTGTGACTGTTTCTTAGAATAATAGAAGTATTAACAGTAGGCATACCATAATGATAATACTATCACATACCCTCCACACACTCCCACCTTAAACACTGTGACTGTTTCTTAGAATAATAGAAGTATTAACAGTAGGCATACCATAATGATAATACTATCACATACCCTCCACACACCCCACCTTAAACACTGTGACTGTTTCTTAGAATAATAGAAGTATTAACAGTAGGCATACCATAATGATAATACTATCACATACCCTCCACACACTCCCACCTTAAACACTGTGACTGTTTCTTAGAATAATAGAAGTATTAACAGTAGGCATACCATAATGATAATACTATCACATACCCTCCACACACTCCCACCTTAAACACTGTGGCTGTTTTTCAATTAAAAACATATTAACTACAGTCGTAATGAAAGAGCAAATAATAAATCACAACCAGGCTATGGTTTCTATAGGGTTGCTCCTCATCATCAAGTTTCTGGCTTTGACCCTGTGGTTTCTGAAACTAGTGTTCTCAGTTATTTTCAAAGTGTTATTAATATAGGTTTAAAACAAATAGTAGACAAACTATGATTTGAAAGTCATTAACAAAGTTCTGATATTATAGATATTGTGTCTGATTCATCCATAATTTGTTAAATGTTAAAGGACATATAAAGTGCCAAACCATTAACTCGACTGGTGAGCTACAGAGAATTGCCTTACAAGAAGGCTTTACAGTTTAATAATTGTCCTCAGTTTCATGAAGCTCCACTGTGTATTGCTTTCACCACTACCCAAATTGTTTTCACCACTACCCCAATTGTTTTCACCACTACCCCAATTGTTTGTGGTGATCCATAATGTTATCATCTTCAACCCTATATGTTATTTTGGGGATTACACTTTCTCAGTAAAGTACAGATTTTAATACTTTTTGAGTCTCATCCAGAATTCAAACCAACCATCTCAGTGTCAAGCATCTGATCGCCAGCACACAAACTTCTACCCGCTTCCAAACTGAAAACTTGATAAATGGTAGTTGAGATCACACACTTTGTGTACCCCTCTGACGAGTGTAAATTGGCATGGCTCTGTGTCCAAAAGCTATAAATACACAATACCATTTAGAAGGTGGCAAAATGTAACAAGTCATATATTTGGGATTACACTTTCCCTTTCGAATGTTGGATGCAACTCAGGCTAACAAAAAGTACTAGAATCTACACTTTACTGAGGAAAGGTAATCCCAATTATGTTACAGCTGTTACATTTGACTACTTTCCAAATGACATTGGGTATTCATCTTCAGCCCCTAATAGAGAACAATACCTTAGATGAAAGTGTAAGTGTTTAGTCATGTTTCCTCCTAGTCACTATGTCACCTGGGTGTAACTCAGTACAATACTTACAACAGATGATATATCTGAGAATGATATACTACAAGGATACTATACACCACACAACATATTGCATATTTAAAACCATACCAATACTGGATCTGGCTAATACTGAAAAAATACATATAGTATTACAGTATCAATATTTGTTACTCCAACAAAACATATTACAAGATATATTGTGTACTATATTAGAATGATAAAGAAACATCTACACTGACCTGTGCATCAAGAGAAACATTCTAAAGGTAACATTTAAATCATAATTCTTCTATCCTTTATCATTAAAATTATACTGCATTAAGATGAGAAAAAAGTGTCATAAAATATACTTTGGCCGAGTTTCATCACATTGTATAATATGAAGCACCTTAGTTAAAAATACTGGTATGGTTTAGATGCTTTTATCATGCTCCATCCAGGTTTTCTGAAGGATAACCTTGACGTATTTTGGCATACTTTATAAATTACACTGATATTCCAATACAAACAGCTGTTTTGAGATGGCATCCCCACAAATAATACACATGGCCAGTAGAAACAATTTGCATATCTGGGCAATGGAATATATGGATATTGTTTGATGAAAGAATTCATATTATGATTTGTTTGATGTTCAGTGACAGTCAGAAATATCCCAGCCCTGTCATGACGGCCTGTAAAGTAACGGACATACCAGCAATATCCCAGCCCTGTCATGACGGCCTGTAAAGTAACGGACATACCAGCAATATCCCAGCCCTGTCATGACGGCCTGTAAAGTACCAGATATACCAGATATACCAGCAATATCCCAGCCCTGTCATGACGGCCTGTAAAGTACCAGATATACCAGCAATATCCCAGCCCTGTCATGACGGCCTGTGAAGTACCAGATATACCAGCAATATCCCAGCCCTGTCATGACGGCCTGTAAAGTACCGGACATACCAGCAATATCCCAGCCCTGTCATGACGGCCTGTAAAGTACCGGACATACCAGCAATATCCCAGCCCTGTCATGACGGCCTGTAAAGTACCGGACATACCAGCAATATCCCAGCCCTGTCATATGATGGCCTGTAAAGTAACGGACATACCAGCAATATCCCAGCCCTGTCATGGCGGCTGTAAAGTACCAAAGTACCAGATATACCAGCAATATCCCAGCCCTGTCATGACGGCCTGTAAAGTAACGGACATACCAGCAATATCCCAGCCCTGTCATGACGGCCTGTAAAGTACCAGATATACCAGCAATATCCCAGCCCTGTCATGACGGCCTGTAAAGTAACGGACATACCAGCAATATCCCAGCCCTGTCATGACGGCCTGTAAAGTACCAGATATACCAGCAATATCCCAGCCCTGTCATGACGGCCTGTAAAGTAACGGACATACCAGCAATATCCAGCCCTGTCATGACAGCCTGTAAAGTACCAGCCCTGTCAGCCCTGTCATGACGGCCTGTAAAGTACCAGATATACCAGCAATATCCCAGCCCTGTCATGACGGCCTGTAAAGTACCGGACATACCAGCAATATCCCAGCCCTGTCATGATGGCCTGTAAAGTAACGGACATACCAGCAATATCCCAGCCCTGTCATGATGGCCTGTAAAGTACCGGACATACCAGCAATATCCCAGCCCTGTCATGACGGCCTGTGAAGTACCAGATATACCAGCAATATCCCAGCCCTGTCATGATGGCCTGTAAAGTACCAACTGTTTGATCAGCATTCTAGAAGTTGGTGAGTCAATAATGAAGCATATGACTTTATGGATAACAACTTCATGTTCATACAATAAACAAGAAGTTGTTATCCATAAAGTTGTATGCTTCATTTAGTAAAGTAGCAGACCAACGGCTCCTTTCACGAAGCAACCCTTACCAAGGTTAACCTTAACCCCCATTCTTTAACATTGCACTAAGACTACCTTAGTGACTTACGATCACCTTAATGCTCTGTGAAAGGAGGCCAAGGCAACTAGCAAGTTTGGTGCACCTTGATAAACCCCTCGTATTTTCCACTGGATTTTGACATCAACTTCTTATAACACTAGTGTAGATCAACTTGGGTTATGCCTGCATGTTTTACCTCATATCTCCTTCTCCCATGTAGGTGTGTAGAGTGACAATGTACTACTAAATATACAAGTTATCATAAATAGGTAAAAAAAACTCGCTTCACAACCACATTGAAGATAAGGGTTTCCTCAAAATTCTGGTCAAAATCTTGTGATCAAATATGAAAATACATTGAAGAATAGATGTAATTCTCTTCTCAAGCAGGATCATGGTCCATCTCACCCAAAGGCCCATACTCCCACATAGCTGTAGAACATTGCAACTGGCACTTCCATCACCCATCCACATACACAATATACAGGGCCTCATTGAAATCCAGGAAAACTTCTGCTAAATTCCAAAACGAATGGATGTGCTCTCTTCATCGTGAAATTATCGCATTCTATAAACTCTCCAGTCAGAATAATTTCAAAGTCAACTTGAGAGAATAGTCACAAAGTCACATAAAAATACTGGACATTTAAGAGAGAAAGTGGTAAAATATGTGTAGATGTGCATTTAGATTAAACGTGAACCTCAAACGGAACAGTATTAAAAAAATGATCAGTTTACTGAATCAATAAAAAATACAGAACTTATTGGAAAGACAATTAACTGAAACCCAATATAAAACTCAACAAAAACAAAATAATTTGTGAAAATCAGGTAACTTTATTTCATAATAATTCATGTTGATAACATCAACTACAACGTGTGGGTATCATTCAACATGCAAGATACTTTGGTGGTCTCTTACATTTCATCTACAAACAAGGTGTGGAAGAACTGTCAGGTATAACTGAATTATTTAAAGATGCACACAAAAATCTCTTGATTCTCATTTCAGTGAACAATTGCAACCCTGAACTCAACAGATTTTCAAAAACAAGTGCAGGTAGCTGCATTTTGCTCAAGGCCATAAGACCTCTGATTTGCAGCATGAGGTATTTGTATATAATCTAAACTTAAGGTGATATAACCATAATGTTTATTATTAATAATATTCTTAAACCCAAAAATGAGAGAGAAAAGATTTTTATGGAGACCTAACACAATGCAAGCAATTTGATAGTGATATTGTAATTTTCTTATATCATTATCCAATATGCGAGACATATGACATTGCAATTTGGAAGAACTTGTATGACATAAATATTGTACATTGCACTTTTTTTTCTATTATATCAAAACATGCATCATGCCAAACATGCATTATCAAAAAAATGTTTTGATGGATTGTGAAATGCAACAATTTACAAAAATAATCCAAGCATGTTTTACAAAAGGTTTGATTCAAACCAAATGCTAAACAGTTTTAAGCAAATGAAACAATATCCATTTTATCTTTTATAGTTCTGTTGCTTCACACTCCAGGTTAAAAAGTGTCCTTTTCACATTCTTATTACTTGAAATTCTTTGGTAATGACAGGAATTCCTACTGTTTACAAGGCTGAAATATACTTCAGTTATGAAATATTTGGTAACTGACACAAAAAAACCCAGCAAGCTAAAAATATATTATTCATTAAGGCAACTATCACAGTCGAAAATATTTGTCTATTTATAAGAATTCAATATTTTTTAACTGAATCCCTTCAAAATGATACCTTCAACAAATAACACTTCCCACAAACAATGTTTACAGTTGTCCCAGACATGGATTAAAAGAGACATCTGAAAATTTAGAATATTTCTGATTCTCATAATATAATACAATCTGTTTCATATATTGTTTACCAAACAGAAAATATTTCAAGTATTGTTTGAAGGTGAATTTATATTTTATCAACTGTCAAGTCATACTTCTCTATGAAGTAAAGGTTTCTTAAAAAAGGGTTTTCTATTACAAAATTGCTTCACAATAACAAAAAGGTCACATTATGTATTGACATAATAAATTATCTCAATATCAAATGCTGTTGTTTGACAAAATATCATGAAAACCAACACTACTTTACTTATATATACATACATACAAGATAGTTGGCATTCATAGGCAGCAGAAGACAAAGGGAGATAACCCTGTATTGCACATCAACAAGTGACTTCTTCAGTTAATGGAGATATAATATGGAAGCTCTTTCACCAAAACAGGTTCAAGTATGTATGGGAGACTAAGAGATTGAAAACAAGCTCCTCTCATACATTATAAAAATTAAAACATTTTCATTTCGAATTCTGTACATTTTGTGACAAGATTCTGAAAGGGAAGACAAAATCACAATGGTAAAACTGGTCTGCAAGGAATTAAAAACATGTAACTTTTCACAAGAATTGTTACGGTAAACGTCCCCAGTCATGACTATATCCCCCTTCATTACACCCATTCAATTCCTTGCAGCAATTATTGTGAATATGGTGCAATTATGAAAAACATTGGCATATTTAGATTAAGTATTTGGATGCACTTCAAAATCACAATTCCAGCACAGTAACAACCGAAGATAATATATTTACAACATGAGCAAATATATTAATCTTTCAGTAGTTGGATCTCCAATAATACAAATATAGGAATTAGCACATGGAATATCGTGAAAACGTATGAAGACAAGTTTTGAATCGAGAAGATTTTCATGCAGTCACGATTCATCATGCAGAAATTTATACAGGTTTATCACACATATATTCTGTTGCTATTTCCTCTGCCGGATCGAGATTTTAGGAAAATAGTCTGTATCTCCCAGCTCTGTTCTCAACTCTACCCTGCTGTACATGTTCTGAAACAACGCACTGATGTCACAACACATGACCCAATATGTCAGCACTAGCATACTGGAAGATAAATAATGCTTAAGTTTATCAATATACACTCAGTAGTGTTCACGCCTAGCTTATAACACACTGCTTATTCTTGTTCTTGTGGCGGCCCCTAGTGTTCATAGTCCTTGCACGACCTTGGGGTCCAATACCCATGTCATCCACATACGATATACGTGGTCCTGGTCCTTGTCTCTGAGGAGAATCATAATAGTAATAATAATCATCTGAGTCACTAGAACTAGAGCATGTGCTACATCGATCATCCTCATATGGGAACCGATCAAATCGGTCCAATACTGAACTTTCCATTGAAGGAGGGCGGCCATTGAATCCCCCTGTTGCTCCACGTGGTTCAGAGTAGTAGGAATTTCCCGGTCGTCCCTCGAAGCTACGGCTGCGCGGATAGCCTGGGTTGTTTGCGCCCCTGCTGTGAGGCCGTGCTCCTGTGGGTGGGCGAGAGATGGGGTTCATCTTGTGCTCATCCGGGAGAGGTATTGCCGCAGCTCCACGACGCCCCGTCTGTCGGATGTTGGGGAGTTCAGGGAAGGACCGGTGTGATAGCGGTTGTTGTTGGCCATGATGGTGATGGTGGTGGTGGTGATGGTTGTGATGATGGTGTTGCTGGTGACCGTGGGGCACGGCATAACCATTATCACTCTCTAGACGCTCACAACCAGTGGTGGGTGGGGTTTCAGGGGGACAAGGTGGTATCCTCTCTCGCTGAGGATTGATAGAAGCATAGTGGACACTCACATTCTTCTCGGACCCTGACCGACTCCTACTCCTTGAGCTGAGGTTACTCTTGTCCGATCCAGGGGTGTCCGGTTCTTTTGTTAAGTCCGGCATTGAGAATTGTGAGAGTCTGTTACGTTTCTTGGCCTCCTGGCAAGGAAGACCATCGATGAGGCCATCAAGGTTCAGATGATACACCGCCTCTGGGTCAGTGAAGTTAGCATTTTGTTGCGGCGCCTGGTACAGACCTGGTGCGTACACCTCGCTGTTGCTGCTTGTAGCATAACCCTGATCCCTGTCTGAAGATGGGTAGCTGTCGTTGATGGTATATTGTTGTCTTAGCACTTCATGAATGTCCTTATTTCCTTCTAGAAGCACATGGCTAACAGGGGAGCCTACTCTCACTGCCTGCAACTCTTGAAGGTAATCTTCAGGTCGTCGGGGAGTCTGAGTCTGCATAGAACCTGCTCGGCTACATGCAGCTGAGCAGTATATAACACCATGTTTGGGTAAAAATGGTTGTCCAAGCAAAGACTTTTGACATGTGTGGCATTTGAAGCATTGATCTGTTGCATGCCAGTGTTGACCTTCATGGGTCATTTGTCCTTGATCGACCCCGATGTGTTCACCACAAGTGTCACAATATTCCGCAAACATCCGCTCAAAGCATCCACAACAATATGGTCGCCCTTCTCGCATAATGTAGCGTTGACCACCCAACATGGTATCACACTCAAAACAACAGAAGTGCTTCATGTGCCAGCTTCTTCCTTCAGCCTCCGTACACTCGTCTGCAAAGATGATCTGAAAACAAAGCATAAGATAAAGTGACTATTTATGAATGAAGTCTCTAACCACCTGAGGATTGCCCAATAAGGAAGTCAGTGTGACCTAATCCCCTGATCCGTGGCCTTACCACGGTGACACATTACTGACCTTTCATGTATTAAATTAAGCTGCTACTTTCCTAACAACATGTCACATACTTCAGCGTGACACTGTGACATTTGACCAACATTCCCTGAACATAAGCCTCTCACTCTCAACATAAGCAAAATAGATTTCACAATCTCACATAAGTTCAGATTAAACTTCACAACAAAATATTTTTGTCAATTCTCATCTATTTTACCACTAAATGTCACTTTTACCCTGATGTATTGAATTAATTAAATATCTACAGCAGTCTTAATACAATTAACATCACATTAACAAGTAAGTAATGTGTAAAAACCATTTTGTCATTTTTTCCAAACATACCTCATCACATGCCGCACACCGAGGCTTCAGCATCTCGGCATGGTGACGTCCACAGTAAAGTTCTCCTTCAGCGAAGAAGTAGATGAGGTCTACAAGAAGCTCGCTGCATGTGTGACACACAAAACATCCTGGGTGCCAGCACTTGTTGGCACCGGCACGTGTCGCGAACACTGCCATGTCCCCACCGGTAATAGTGCACTCACACTGTAAGGAGAAACACAACTAATGTTGATACTACGTTGTGTCTACGTTTAAATACAAGTAACTACCAGACAGCAGAGACTGGACTTATGATGAAGGGAAACACTATTTATAGCTGGACTTCTTTATTGCAATATTTTGGTGTAGAACCTAACACCGTTATCAGTTAGGAGTTGAACTTATGATACCATGGAACTAAATTATTGTCCCTTTTTTATCATTACATTTTGTTATTTTCAAAAAAATTGATTTCAGGTGATTTGAAATTTACTTGCAATGTGAAAATTTTCAGTTTCTGGAATAAATTTGTTTAGTAAACCAACAGTATTTTTACAAACAATGAGTGTACATTAATTAATGTGTACATATAGAGTGTTCTTTAAGTATAGGATCGTTAAGGTAGTTATGTTTCCATAAATATCACATGGAATTATATCATGAATAGAGCCATCAGCATGTCTCCTCACCTGAGTACATGCAGTTCCCTGCAGGGTGAGAGGGAGGGGCCTGACGGTGCCCCGCCCAAGTGCCTCCCGTTTGCGCTGTGCAGAGAACATCCGCAGCTCATGCTTTTCTTCCTCTGCCAACACATTGCAGTAGCGCACCTCGTTGTCATGAGGAGGCAGCTGTTGTAGCAGTTGCCGCACACGGTACTTCTCGCCTGCACTGTTGAGGTACGGCACCTTCCCATCCGGGATCCCATTGAAGTACTGGTGAATCTGCAAAGTAAAGGACAATTATTATCATGATGATTATTATTTGGTGCAGGATTATCATATTTTGATCTTAGTGTACATAAACTGTACAGACTTATATATTTCTTGATAAGAATTGGGTACAATGAATGTTTTTGTGCATTTCTTGGGCATTTCTCTGACCCACATTTCCGCCTTGTGTAAAACCCTGTACATCTATTGCAGCTAAATCTTTATTGCACAACATAAACGTTAATCCAGGTGCCACATGCCTTCAAATACTCATGCAGCATTCAATACTGTCATGATACTACAGGCAGAACTCGATATAAGAGATGTTAACCTACTTGCACCAGGTGCAACCTGAGATAAAAACCTAGTTGCACCAGCCAAATTCCAGTTGCACTGCTTTTTTTGCAATATGTAAAGAAAGAAATATGGTATTGAATTATTCAAAGTTTAGAAGAAAAATGAGCTGACATAGTTATATGCTGCTCATATAATGTTAGACAGATTGTTGATTTGTTTCTCAAAAATTAACTTGCACCTGGTGCAAGTAAGACCGATAACTAGGTTGCACTTTGTAATATTGGGTTGCACCAGTGCAAGTAACAAAGCACTAAATCAAACCCTGGCAAAGGGAGATACTATTTTATGAGAGCTTCCATCACTTTCCTCTGTCAATGACAGTTTCAAAACCTTTTCCAAAGCCTGTAAGGTGAATTGTGAAAATTATTTTCTTTGAACTTCAAAAATAATCAGTCACCTTTGTAGTTTCTACTGTCAAAGGACTCCTCCCTCCCTCCCCCTCTCTCTCTCTCACACACACACACACACACACACACACACACACACACACAAACAGACCCAATCTTACAACCAAGCAGTTATTTCCAAACTATCCATATTCGCAGGACAGGCACACCTATGAATCACCATTTTGTGCCCCTAAAACATCTGTATATTTTCAGTATTCAGCCAGCTAAGAGACAGCATGTTTGTAAAGCCGTAATTGTATAACTGGTCTTCTAGCAAACACAACATTATCATAATCACATCCAGATGAGAGTTGCAAGCCCTACCACCAACGAGAGGCAGCTGTTTTAGATACCCCTGCCTAATCAAAGCTTAATCACTGTGTGTAATTCCTACCACAAAACTGCAAGCACAAAATACCTTTATAATGGGCATAAAATTGAGATGGGCTCTGGTGAAGTCCCACCACTCATGCTTGATTCAATTATACAGACTTGTGAAAAACTGGAGCTGATGCTCTGGAATTTCGGATCTCCCTTAGATACAGTTAGTAGACATTCAACATGTCTTAAAAAGTTAAACAGGCATGAAAATATCTTGTTATCTCATTATTGTATTTATGATTCATTGAAAACATCACTTCGGGATTTTTATTTAAAAACATTTAACTGTTTAATAAAAGCATTCAATCCTCTTATAAGTTGCAAAACTGAAAAAGAAACGAATATATCTTGTTATGTCATTATTGTATTTGTGATTCATTGAAAACATCACTTCAGATCTTTATATTTAAACTAAACATTTAATTGTTCAATGATAGCAATGAATTCTGCAACGTAAAAGCTTTGCACTTTATAATTCATCTGCAGTAAAACTGGGAGAATTAAATAGCTTTTGTTTCCCATGTGTAATATATTTGCAACAATTTGATATTTCTCTCTTTATCCCACATAGCATTCAATTATTGAATCCAATTTCATACTTGAGATCACATTTCAAATCATATTTAACAGAGCATTCAAGCTTGGAGTAATGATGAAAGACTTTAGATATCCCATATGATACAAAGCTGATTTTAACATTGTGGCTGAAGTCTAAATAGGTACAAACCGATCTACCAGTCAAATCCCATGAAGAATGCTAGCAATCTTAATATTTTCCATGACAGCAACTATGTCATTCTTCATAAACTGTAAAATCATAATGATTTTTCAGATGTAAAAGAATTTATTAATCATTATTAAAGTTATGCACTAGAATCATACACAATAAAATGGATGACCTATCATATGATCCACCAGAAACACACCAAGCAAGACATGAGATAGTTCAAATACATAAACTTCTACTACAGTAGTGAGATAATAAATCCAAGAAATAATGATTAATTTTTCAAACCCAATAAAGTTTTATTATCCAACACTTCAAGGAGCCGTCTGCCCCAGGTGGCAGCCATATTGTTTTTGAAAGGTTTGCAACAAAAAATGAAACAAACTTTGTTTCTTCACCAAACCATCTCCTGGTCTCAACAAACAAAAGTGTAGATTTCGTTTACAGGCTTCAGAGCGACTTTGTCGCACCAGGTAGGCCTCGCTTTGTTTACCTAATTATTTAATGTTCTTGTTCCTTTTATCCATGTTTCTCTTAACATGGAGAATATGTCTGGAATGCTTCTTGGTTTTCACTAGGAAATGGTTTCGACCTATCTCCTGAACATCCTTTAAACTCCATGTAAGTTGACTACAAGATGATAGAAAAAAATTCTGGCACACGCCCAGGACAAGAAATTAGCTGAGTAGCAGTAACACTGCAGTACCAGAGGCTCGTTTTTTAACTAACAAAAACCAACAATCGTAGAGTCATCTTCAAAGTATAATAGGAAACGTGATCCATGTAAACAAAATAATGCAGTTTTGATTTCTGGTAAACCTGTTGTGGATTCTTGTGAATCATCAGTGTACATTACTTTGCTTAATATGAGAAAACATGGCTCAGTTAGTTTGAAGTTCAAGAGGAGGGAGAGGTAGGTAAGCGGCTGAAAATGGTTGTCTACTGGATATGAATCTATGGTGCATGACTGTGTTAATGGTGATGAGATGGTGCCACAAATCACCTCAACAATTAGCCCCTGATCAAACTTGATCAGCTAACAATAAATATAACCTTCACCATTTCTCATAGCTCTGTGCAAGTGCTAGTCGAGGGCTTCACCTGGTACAAATCTCAACGCTGCCGACACAAATGGAGGCGATTTGTCAGATTGCAGGCATTGAATCTGGTTTCAATGCAATCTGGCAGTTAGCGATCCCCACCCCCTAGCCTCCTCCCCACCCCTGCCCCCCCTTTCCACCTCCTGCAGCTGCCAGGCACGTGCCCCCCATGTAAATGTCTCCCTCTGTTGGTTTCCCCACTCTCACTTGGTGTAAGCTATGCAGAGGTTACTGTTGTTTTTGATTCTTGGTTTGTGATACTACATCCTTGAGGTACTCAATTTCTGTTTGATTTATCATAGCATTACATCAACTCAATATTGAGTGTGTAAGCTATAACAGCATACTGCTCCAACACATGACCATTCCAGGCAAATATCAGATCAAGAGCATCAAAACCCATGCCAAAGGACCATCCCAAAATGATAGCAGTCAAACCCAAGATTTCTCAGATGAGCCAACAATTTGACTTTTAACCTACTAAACTGTCTCTTAAAGTAAGAAAACATACTGTATTGAACAATAAGCCATTTTATATCATGGACCAGACACATTTTTATGACTGTACCATGGTAAAGAATATTTTCTAATTATATCTACAATCTTACAAAATACCCCCAACCTGCCCAAAATTATTTCTGATAAGCTATTGCTAAAAATAGGCTAAGAGACCTCAGGAAGTTTGATCCCCGGCAATATCTCCCAAACAACGGTTGTTGAGCACTCAAGCACATACTGAGTCTATTACCGACTCATCTGTCTGAGAAGGGATCGCTCTACAGGGTCTGGGACTGGAGCCTGCTGTCAAGTTTTGTCTTAGAATCAATAAGAACAATATTAGTACCTATTTCTGGAAAATATATACAGGAATAGGTGAGAATATATCCAAACCGAGAAGAAATTTTGTTCTGAGTGTTAGAGGCCTAATCTATTCAGACATTGTTACGTTGTGACCAGCCAACAGTTGCCCTTTTAGCTGATGTCAAATTTCAAATTTTATTTATCCAATTCAGAAGACATTTATGGGTTTAAATGATACAATAGCGGTAAGGGTGATATTTCTTGATGCAGTAAAGATTCGTTTTACTTCATATCTGCCACTTACATCAAATTAACATACCATTTTAGAATGACTAAGGATCTCTGTATCAACTCAATGTTAAAAATTGTCAGTTTAAGTGCCTAAATTTGCGATCTTCCTTTGCCAAATTTCATGAGCCCTGAGAGCCGCCTAACTTTTAATTAACTTCATCAAAATGAAGCACTCTTGCTGACAAGCCTATAATAAATTATCCAGATAAAAAAATAAATCTTAACCCATTCTTTGAAGATTGGTGATTCAAGCTGTCCGACCATCCTTTTAAGCTATGATGCCGCGGCTGTTTCTTTTGTTTCAAATGGGTTGTGTTTAAACTACTTTAGAAGAACATTTCTGACATGCCAATGCATTTTAAAACTCCATACTTTGAATGTGCCCGACAACAAAGGCCTGTATGAGGAAGCCCATATGATTAGCTTTGATGCATAATATGGGATAATCTTCAAATTATACCAATTAAAAGTTTCATCGTTCTGCTTTCAGTGTCTGAATACAAGCTGGGCTGTTATGCATACTAGCAGCCCAAGAACAATATTATGATCCCATTCTGACAGGAATGCTGCACTCGGATGAGGCCAGCTTGTCTGACCTGTAACCTCTGATGACCCCTGAGTTTGGTGTTCCTTCACATAAAAGTGTCCATCTTTCTCATGAATAAGAACAGCGATAAAAGACCCATCAACGGAGGGATCCCAGTGGACTGGTTTGATGACTTGCCACAAGATAATGCTGCATTCCGACCCATTACAAGTTGATCATGGATAATGAGTCCAGAATAAAGACTTGCGGAATGTGTCAAAACACACAGCTCTTCATTTACAAAAGATTAATGCATTTCATGACTAAGTTATCATCAGAATGTTTAGATGGTTCGGAGGGTGTCTGGAAGGATGGGGAAATGTATGACTGAGTCGCCAGCCCTCTGATCTGAGCTGGGAGGGTGACAAGCTCCGCACTCTTCAAGAAGATTTGAATTTGACCTGTAACCCTGTTGATCATCAATAGCCAATTGATATGGCCGACCTAATGAATCATTTGGGAAATTGAAGGAAGCTTCACAAGGAATTTTACAATGGTCAAAGCTCAGTGGTCATTTGATAATGCTCAGTACCGAAAAAACACCTTAAATCAACAATTACTCAAGACAAACACTACTCTAAATTGACAGGAAATGATAAATGTTTTTTACACCAATCAATGCTTGTACAAATATGGGAAGTGAAGTTCTCCAGATGAATTCCAAATAATCCAAAGAGTTATCAGTTGGCAAAAACCCTTATGAAAAGCTAACAACCATTTTGAGGTTTGCAGACAATGCAGCAACGTTTATCCTGAAAGCATCAGCAATTCTCTTCCCAAATACCAAAACATCCTCATTTAAGTCTAGACACAAGACGTACAGAAATTGTAATAATCAACCACTACAGCTGTGGAAACAAGAACTCTCTTCCCTCTTAACCACCTCTTTGGCTTCCAGCTCTGGTTTTATGAATCCACAACCCTAATAACTTATTAGTAGCAAAAAAAATACCCTACCACTGTTTGACAGCTTCACATTACGGCTAAGCAAATACACACATTATCTCATAGGTAAGTCTGACCTGCTTCCAGGTGGGGGGACGGTAATCATATAATGGACACCCCATCTTTACACCTTCCCCCAAGGTCCATGTTTGGATAACCTTTAATAAACCGTTCCCGAGAATCCAATCAATTTACCCAGTCCCAGCACGATCTGTTGCCAGGTGGGGCCCTTCGCAGCGTACTGGCAAGTTCATCACAGTCAACTTTACAGTTTTCACAAATAATAACCCTCCAACTGTTTCCTGCTCTCGTCCCCTGGAACAGCACTCACTAAACAGATGTACATTTTGTGGCAGAGGTGATGCCTGCCCAAAATAGCAGGTGAAGACTGTACACAGAATATATCATTCCATCCTGTCAGTCAGAGTGTTTGGGTATCCTCCTAATCTCACTGTACAAAAACAACCACAAACAGACGGACAGAGGCAACACCTTAACTCCAAATCTTGTTACTGAATCAGTTTTCATGAGGTTTGGCAAGTAATTTTGGCATGCTAATTCTGTTTATCAGAACATGTTTGGAAAAAAACTGTGTTGAAATGACAGGTCATATGGTATTCAGATTCTTCCTTCACAACTGTTATGATAAGAAATGAACCAGTAAGTCTGGTCACTGACATTGCCCTTTGAACATCAAGCAATGTGGACTGTAGCTGGTTGAGACTGTCTTGCAACCAAGCAATTGTTAAAATGATAATCTAGATCAGCAATGAATCTATTTTTTTCTGAATAATGAAAAATCCTTGGGCACAGAAAGCTCATAATCAGGGCATTTCCATCTTTTGGTTTGGTTTGTTGTTTAATGCCGCACTCAGCAATATTCCAGCTATATGGTGGCCGTCTGTAAATAATTAAGTCTGGGCCATACAATCAAGTGATCAACAGCAGGAGCATCAATCTATACAATTGGGATATGATAACATGTGTCAACCAAGTCAGTGAGCCTGACCACCCGATCCCGTTAGTCGCCGCTTACAGCAAGCATGGGTTACTGAAGACCAGTTCTAACCCACATCTTTACGGGCCCATTTCCATCTAAAGATGAAGCTTAATTTATCATGCAAGTCCTACTGGTATGGTTAGTTTGTTCATCAGAAGAACTGACATGATGCCCATGACAGGTCGCTGTGAAGTGATACAGCATCTGGTAATGATGACAGTATCGAACATTATCAATGACGACATCCAGTCAGTATTGAGAATGTGCCATGGCAATACGGATAGTGCCTGACATGCACCCAGTGGTAACATTACGCCCCAATGGACATGGAGTGACAACACCTAATGACATGAAATGACGGCATCTGATGACAGTGCTTGATGGTAAGCTAAAGCAAGGTCCTTTGTGATTCTCATCGAAATGTAAACAACACCGAGCCATCCCATTTTTTATATTTGTAATAACATTCTTCACACATCCAACTCAGCCTCCTGCTAAGAGACCTAGAAGAAACCAGTTCCTCCCATGCAGCTCCACATATCCCGATGTGATGATATTTGGCTGCCCGTTCCATCATGTTTGTACATATGCTATGCTATGATGCTTGAGAGACGAGGCATTCATCATTCATGACAACCTTCAACCATATGCACACAACTCCTAAATTTGACCGCACATTTGTTAAATATGGAATGCCGCCTCCTATATCCATGATCTCCGATTTATTAAATGTGGTATGTGTATGAGTGCGCCCTACTGTTTCAACAGATTGCTTGAAGATCATCAGTAATTGTTGGTAAGAACTGCAACAGAGGCGTGCCGGCTCTAGCACCTGCACAAATAACATCAATATCACATACAGCGACATAGCAACATCATGATATCGGGAAAAGCGATATACAAAACATCATGATAGAGCTCAGATAACATTTTTCTGCTTCTTGTTTATTGAGATGTATTTGGACTGAAATATTACAGGAACATTGTATTAACTGTTTCATTGTGTAATGCATCTTTCGTAGTGAGAGGGAGCTATTGTTTTAGATACTGGAAGTGCTTTGACATTGTTTATCATGTGATATCAGTGATGATAATAGCTAACAAGTTATGTTTGAATCACCCAGTTCATTCTTGATTCAAAATGAAATGACCTTTTCTTGAACATGAAGAAAGAGCAACAGTAAAATTGGATAACTTTCGTTTCATTTTGCTAATGGTGAAGACTACATTTTGGAAGTCTGATCGTTCTTCATATTGCAACAACTCTCAATTCTGTTTTTAGGCAAAAAAGCAAGAAGTAAATTAGTTTTATTAACTTGAATCTATTCCATCAAACCCCTGAATACCGCCATATTTGTCACAATGAGGCAATGCATCTTCAATCAATCCAACTTGTGCCATAAAAAAATAATTTATTCCAATGTGTACCATATGAACAATCAGAGCAGGGAATATTAATGCCTAACAAATGTGCAACAATTTTCATATCCCATTTGACAATAAATTCCTATGAATCATCCTAACTACATTCCATCAAGCTAACAAATTCTATTAGCTTGTCCTTTGTAGTAATTTTAAAGCTTGTCCTAGTACCCATTCGTCCGTGTCCTTTCACCCATCCCTTTCCCCAAGAAAAAACTGTGTCATTGACACAATAACCTCCACTAAAATCCTTTGTCCTCAATGCATGTAAATAACGCCTCAGAAATACACTGTCCAATCAACAGAAAGATACACACCAGCAAACCAATCAAATCAAGTCATAAAACCATGCCAATTCATGGCAAGTCATTAGTCTAGTTTTGTGATAGGCCTTTTGAGGTTTATGCTACAGCAATTAAATATCAACTATAAAGCAAGCACTGGAGTTTGAATTCCTTTTGGCAAGTTCTGGACTGATTTTGTCAAATAATTCTAACAATTTAATCCCTTCAAGCCTAAATGAGACAATCACTAGCCCAGGGCGTAAAGCATATTATTAGATAAGTCTGACACTAGCAGAAAACTTGTCAATTATAATTATGTATGGTTTCAGATAAGCCGACATTGGGGTTGCTCCTGGTCCGATAATGACTTTATCAGTGTACCAAATTTCTCCTTAATGCATGTCTGTAGTCCCTATTTTGGATTGGTAATACCACTCTCGATAAAACCATCAACTCGTGCATATTTCATATGTCGCAGAGTCAGGAAAGCTGATACTTCATGTAAAGCAGTAATTGAGCATCTCATATTGAGCAAAGAGATTTTGGATGATTTAAAAAGCAAATCTCTTTGGAGGCAAATTAGGATTTGATTACATTAGTTTATTACGCAAACACCGAGGAAAGAGGCGTCCTGGAATATCTTGACACAGAACCTGTGACATTATTTTGAAGATTAGCTTCATAATGAATTCATGGCTCTTTTCATGTCTAAAAAAATATTAAAAATATTTCAATTATTTCAACAGGAAAAACTTTGAAAGGTCAAAGCAGGAATGAATGATTCAACTGGACAAATAATGTAACGATCGGGCAATCTGGTGTTGTAGTACAGACGGAACAAAGCACCACAAAACGGAAGTGATAACAAAACTATTTAATACTAGTTGCTGCAATTAACTGGGGGTTTAATGTCAAATCATAGTTTCTGTTTAAAAAGCATATGTATATCTTGTGCAGCACAACCAGGTGATTATTTTGATGAAGAATGAGGACTATTTTTATGAATAGACAACTTCTTTATTCTACATAGGCGACGTTTCAACATAGATTCTGCTTGACAACGACATTAGAATCTATGTCGAAACGTCGCCTACATAGAATAAAGAAGTCACCACTTGCTTGACAACGACATTAGAATCTGTCGAAACGTCGCCTATATAGAATAAAGAAGTTGTGTATCCATAAAAATAGTCCTCATTCTTCATCTACCCAACTTCTAGAATGCCAATCAAACAAGTATTATTTTGATTTTAATGTAATGAACATTGCTGAAGTTGGTGTGAGGAATATCAGACTGCATGGAGATTTGAGGTTTGAATCAGATTGCCAGCAACTTATTTGGTCACACGAGGTGACGTAATGGCTCAGATGGTCCTACTTGTTGAATCCCATGGTCAGACTCATCCCCAACAGCTAGGGTCATTGCTAACGTCAGTACACTGGTTACCTGCATGAGGAGATTTATAAAGGGTGGGGGGGTAGCCTAGTTAATGCTTTCGCTCCTTACCCCAAACGACTGGGTTTGATGCCCAAATGTACAATGTGTCAAGGTCATTTCCGATGTCCCTTTC